TTAAAGAGTTTTCTTTTTTTTTTTTTAAAGAGAGAGTGAGAGAGAGAGGGGATTTTTTACATATTTATTTTTTAGTAATTTCCAAAGTAATTTCCTTTTTTCAATAGGACCTATTTAATTGCTTTCTTAAAGAGTTTTCTTTTTCTTTTTTTTTTTTAAGAGAGAGTGAGAGAGAGAGGGGATTTTTTTTAATACTTATTTTTTAGTTTTTCGGTGGACACAACATCTCTGTATGTGGTGCTAAGGATCGAACCCAGGCCAGCATGCTACCTCTTGAGCCACATCTCCAGCCCTTAAAGAGTTTTCTTGACCCTGGGTCAAAGCACACCAAGTCTTGTGTCTTTGTGATCTTTTAGTTAAAGGGCAGGCACTGCTCCTCAACCCATTCACCACTAATATTAACTATGTGTTTCTCAATTTCATCATGAATTCCTGTGTGAGGCAAAGGAGGGTGTGTTAATGGGGGGGATGTATTTTGATTAGCCTCTTGTCCTGGAGGGGAATAGTATAATCCTCCTTTAATTACGCAAGCTACATATGGTGGTCCTTGTACACTTGGCACAGGAATTGTTTTTCTGTAACTAGGCTGTGGCACCGATTGTGCCTTTAGAAAGTGGGGGGGGAGATCAGTGTACATTGTTAACCGTGGGATAAACATTTCTTGTCAATTAGGCTTTTCTCAGGAATTTTGATTTGTAATCTTTTCCCTGTGAATTTCTTAAGGAATAGCACTATGGATTGTATCCTGAGAGAGATTGAAACTCACCTTGGGGCCTGTCTCAATTGTGTCCTTGGTCTCATTCTGGGAATTTCCCTGCATTCTCAGGTAACAGGTACTTTTATTATGCATTGAGGAGTGCCCTGTTCTCCACATCATGAGGATCATAAACAAAACACTTAACATTCCCCTTTTTCAGGTTTCCAGATGGTGTGACCCTGCCACAGCATCCCCTGTAAGGGTCCGGTGGAGCCTCGGAGGAAGAGACCACACAAGAGACTGACTTCATGCAATTGGCAGAAGGGGTTTTATTGATTCAGCATGCTGAGGTTCCGGGCTCACTCAGGAAGATAGAGCAGCCCAGAGCCCAGAGCAGAG